TTAAATGAAATTTGATAAAGATTCCTTAAAATATACTTTTATAAAGCGAAATATATTTTGTGCAAATATACTCAGATATTAGGATGTAGTGTAAAGAACACGCCAAATATATATTTTTAATATTCGCATCAGGTTGATATATCCCTCGCAGTTCGTGTGTTTTTCCCGGTATCTGCACCATTTCAACTTTTTAGAAATTGCTAAAGGGAAAAAAAAAGCTGTTGCGTGTTTACTTATGCTTGGGCTTATCTTTCCAGTAATTGAATACTCATCGCATCCATTCTGAATGCTAACAAGGGTATTATAATAGCCTTGCCATATTTAAGCAGAACTTCTCGAAGCGTTTATCTATTTTTTCAATTTTGAAGGTTCTTTTGTTTATTTATTTTATTTTTTTTTTTGAGAAGAATGTAATCTATAACAGATTGCAGATTCACTTTATCCTCATGTTGCCTTTAAATATTTATGAAACATTGTCACTCTGACATCAACTTAAGTTCAACAACTTGCGAGACAAATTGTTTATGGCATAACGAAATGTTGGCGTTATGATGGATGCAATCTGACGCGGACTTCGGCTTGGTCAGCTGGGCGCTAATTACAGCACATTAAAAGCAACTACAACAACAACAACAGCATCACAAAGAAAAAGTAGAGGAAGCAGAGAAGTAAAATGTTGCTGTGGATATTGCGCATACGCCACGTGCGCCGGTGCTTCATTTTTATTTGGCGTTAATTGCAGAAATAATTTATGCAAGTCGTTCAGTCGATGCTGTCGCCGAGTTATATAATTCGTAAACGCGAACGTATAGAAATAAGTGTTCCATTTGTGCGTGTAGTTGTGAGGTGCCTCACAGCTGTGCAGCCAAGTGTAAAGCTTCAGGCTCTAGGCACAGCTTGAATGTGCAAACAGGCGTGCAATTGAGAAAAAAAAAGAGAAGAAGAAGAGGAAAGCGACTGAAGGGCAGCAAGGCAGACAGACAGACTGAGAATTGACAGACAATGAAGCCAGCCGATAGAAGCTTAGACGTTGGCCAAATAAACCAGCCAAAAGCAGCGACTACAATTGCTTCAACTCTTCACGCGTAACAAAGGCGTGGGCGACTGAGTGAATGGGCAACGTTTTCAATTAAAATGACAAAAGGCGAGCACAACAGCGCCAAAGACCCAGCAGCTAGTGGGGCAAAGGATTGTATTGAACGGGCCCAGAGTCAACGATCAAACTTCATGTCTAAGCCGCTTACTGCAACATTCTCAATGGCCATATATCAAAACTAATTGGGCGTGTCGGCCTTCCAGTCGATTCTCATAATAAATAATACAATTTATTTGAATATCCATATCACTTCGGCCCAGCGGCCCCTCGAGCGGCAAATATGCTCTTCGGCAAATGCTTAATAAATTATGAGAAAGGAGAAAGAGATGAAAGAGCTGGTAAAGGGATAGGTGCGCCAAATTAGCCAACGCATAAATTTGTGACTGGCATGCCATATCTATCGATTCGCTTAAATTTACGATCTTATCTTTGACATAAAGTTAAAGGAATATAGACTTGAATATAAGTTAAAGGAATATAGACCAACTCTTTATAGAATTTGTGAATTTATATTCAATTCTTAAAAAATAAATTCTCTTACTTCAGTTATCGCGCATTGCTCTGAAGTGTTTTGTTTGACCATTATTTGGCTAGTGCTAACAATATTTTCACTTCATTTGGCTGTGTTGAATAGGATTTCATATTCTCAATTGCCCCATGAAATTTGATTTGGCCAAGCACGCGAAATCCAAAAAGCGAAAACAGCGAATCGCCAACTGCAAATGCTCCGAGAATTTTTTGGCTTTTCTTTTTGGTTTTTTTGCTTTTGCCATCCGCCATAAAATTTAATAAAGGCAATTTAAAGCAGTTGGTGTTCTAGAGGGATTGAGAGAGAGAGAGAGAGAGAGAGAGAGAGGGAGGGAGAGAGAGAGAGAGAGAGATTAGATCTATGCGCTTTTGATTTAATTGCACTGGGCAAGCTGATAAATTAGATAATTGTGGTATGTGGCTCGACGGCTTTAAGAGCTCTGCAATTTCCGCTGAATAGTGTGCTATGATTTAAGCACGTGAATGAACCCTCCGGAATGCGGAGGGTGCTGAAAAACAGCTGTCTGGGCCATAAAACGCAACTACGCCCTGGCAAGCAATTACCGTTTAGATATGCCAGCTCTCTATAAGGCGGCAGAGGAGTGGAGTGGAGTGGAGTGGGTGAGCTACACAGCAATAACAGCGAACAAGAAGCAGAACAGAAACAGAAAAAAGAGAAACGAGCTGTAACTGAGACGTCCAGTCCAGGAAGGGTGCTCTAAAGTCGAGTAGAGTGAGAGGCAGCCCTTGGAAATATGCGTGACTGTCTGCCTTAATGTGTGTGTGCGAGTGTGTGAGTGCATCTGTGTGTGGGAGAGTGAAAGTGAGCGTCAGAAGTGACACATAAAGCTCATAAATTGTCGCACACTCAATATGCAAAAGGGAGGGCTAAGAGAAGGGTGTAGAGGCAGCAGTAGGGGTGGGGGCAGGTGAGGGCTGTAAGTCGGTAAAATCAATAACGATTGCCACGTCAGTTGGTGGCGCTGGCAAATGACCCACATGTGCCCCAACCCAAGTGGCTTTCAAACGATGACAGACAACTGCCAGTTGAAAAAAAAGGAAAAAGGAAATTGAAACAAAAGCAAATACATATATTAATTTCTATATGCAATAAATGTACACTTAGAGAAAGAAGACGTACGAACTGATAATGCTTTAAATTGAAATGAAACTTAAAAGATGTTAAATTCCAATTGGATAAAATGAAAGAATTTCTTTAAAGTTTATATGCTTATTTATGATAGACTCGACTTTTTCTCCAAGTGTACCACATATACCTATATCGCATACATTGTATATTGCACATGCTTTGCGCCTGAACTCGCCTGAACTCTTAAGCTGCAATTCATTTGAAATGCAATACAAAAACCCAACAGCTGACCATTCCAATTGCCATTCCCAGCGGAAAACGAAACGCAAAAGGAAAATGGCGCATAAATTTGGAAAAACTGTCGAAAAAACAGCAGCAGACGTCATCAGAAGCAGCAGGAGGCGGGCAAGGGATATGCCATTAATAAACGTTAAGAAGGCTAGGAGAAAGCAGAGGGTAGCCTGAACTGAAATAAAACACATTTAGAGAAAGCTTTAAATAATTAAAAAATTTGAGTAAATATTTAAATTTTATATATTTACACGGGGTATATATATAAAATGTACTTATTTCTTTATAAATGTTTGTGTCTAGGTTAGAGTATAAAATATATTGGTACAATATATTGAAATGTTCCTGGAGCACAAAAAGGTAAATCTACTTGGAATTTTACGCAGTAGCTGGCATTCATATACACAAATACTCATATTATTAAGTCAGTTAAGTTTAGTGCTTTACTTTAGCTGCACAGAATAACTAATTCTATTGAGGCTGCACTGTATTTCAGTGAACGCTCCAGTTGCTCTTCGCCATATTTTATTCGCCTGTCTATGCCTTTTGTGTTTAAAAGTAGTTTACTCTACCTCTGCACTTCCTCGTGTAGTGCCTGCCTGGCTTTGCTAGTGCGTTGCCCAGCTGTCGGGTCCTACTATATTATCCTGCTGGCAGAAACGCATTCGTAATATACTTTCTGTGGCAGCAGCAAATTCCATGCATGTTCGGCTCGAGGCGGGCTTTCGGCTCAGTTGGCCTTTACTGTTTTGGCCAAAGCCCCTCGAGTCGGCAGTACGGACCAATGGTAAACTAATTTCATGCACAGAGCGTAATTTGGTTGGCCAGTCAAACAACAACAACGGCGACGAGAGCTGCAAAAGGCCATAAACAAATGGCCCGCGGTGCGCTTTAGCGTGTTTTAGCTTATTTTTGTTTTTGTTTTTAGGTGTTTGTTAGCGTTCGTGTGGAGCTATTTAAAATTGTTGTTGTGTAATTTTTAATTTAGTCACTAATTTATGCAGTGGCTCGCAGCACGTGCTCGGTGGGCGGGCGGAACATACTTATTGCCGGCACTGTTGGTAGTCAGACGTGGCCAACATATTTGTGTAATTGCCGCTTTTAATTGACAGCCATCCCCATGCACAGGCCTGGGGTTTGAGCTGAGCTGAGCTGAGGTCAGCTCTTTTAGCCAGACAATTAGGCCTCCGTAGTTGAGAGTCCTTTCGAAATAGCTGACCCTAATTCATGAGTCCATTACGAGCGTGTAATATAACTGAGAATCAGTTGAAAAGGTAAATTAACATGAGAGTAGGCCAATGTGAGCCATGATCAACTGAGAACTTACTTGGTAACACACTATGTATAAATGCAGTAGGGACTATTATATAAATATAAGTAAGTTTAATTATCTAAAACAAAATATCAATAGGGAATATTTAATTTGAATTCATCTAACTACTCTACCCCATCTTATCTTTTAACAAACTTAATCTTTTAATAATAATATTTGTATGCCATCTATTCATACCTCTTCTATACTAGCTCATTAATGATCATTGGGCTTACTATCACAACTATTTAACGCCCACTATAAAATCAATCTCTACTTTCATATCACTTGTCTCAACTCCAATTCAGCATCACGGTAATCACAGCTGTGACTTAAGTTCTAAAGATCGTGATCAAATAAAATAATAATAAAGTTTGGGAATTATGATTTTCAAAGAGTAATGATAAACTTAATGCCATGCTATGGTATTATAAATAAGTTTTCATGAATGTACATAGGGTATTTCAATATCATTATATTGAAGCGTATATTGACAAAATCAGATATACAAAAATATATAATCAATAATCATTTGTGTCCCTGTCCTGACGGAATGGACTTTGAGAGAATTTATTCATGAGCATTAATTTACATACATTAGCATATCTACCTATTTACCATGCCAACTGCCACTTTACCTCTAATTTTCTCTCTTTCTCTCTCTCTCTCTATCTTTTGCACAGCATTCGCAGCAGTCGCGGCTCGCTTGATAGCATTGGGACCGCTGCTAACGGCAGCTCGGCGGCCAGCCAGGCCAGCTCCAGCGGCGGCTCCAGCACCAATCACAGCAACAGCAACAGCAGCAACATCAACAACAACAACAATAACAACAATAATAACAACAACAACAACAGTAGCAGCAGCAAAATGGACGGCAGTCCACATCATCGCCCGGGCTCAAGAAATGGACGCGACAACTGGAGCAAAATGCCAGAGCCGCTCAACGGACACAAGGCGGACAAGTCGGAGAAGTCCTCGCCGTCGCGTCGCAGCATGGGCGGCGGCAGCGGCAGCTCCTCCAAGCAGAGTTCACCGTCGGCCTCCTCGTCGCGCACCAAGGGCGTGCCGCCCAGCTTTGGCTATGTGAAGCGCGCGAATGGCAGCATCGCCTCCACGGCGGAGCAGCAGAACATAGCCATGCTGATGGCCGTGGGCGGTGGCCAGGGCATGGTCAACGGCCTGCCCTGCGGCCGCACCGCCCACGTGTCTGCGGTGCCGCGCACTGCCAGCGGCCGCAAGGTGACAGGCGGCACTCAGACTCTGCCCAATGACATGAACAGTGAGTGGACAGACGCCCTCTCTGGGTCCCATTTATTCATCTGAGTTTTTCCTTTCAGAGCTGCCCCCAAACACGCAGCATCGCAGCTTCTCGCTGACGGGTCCGACGGCCACGCAGCTGAGCCAGTCCATACGGGAGCGCTTGGCCACGGGCTCGCATAGTCTGCCCAAGCCAGGCAGCGACATGCACGTCTTTCAGCACAGGTGAGACTGCTGGGATTAAAGATGTGTATAAGGAAGTACTTACCACTGGGTAGAGGATATTAATAAATAGATAGGGCTAGCTAGTCGATCAATTAGCTTGTTTAATTAAACTAGCTGGCATCCATCAGTCAATCAGTAATTATTTACTCAATGCACTTGTTCATGTATTGGATATATAGTCTATATAGACTGTCAATCAACACCGAAGAGTCAATCTATTCGCTTATGTCACTTTAAGATTAATTCAATTAACTCAATGTGCAGTCAGTTGATTGGCCAGTCCTAAGCCTATGTGTCATACTAAGTCAGTCAGCAAATCATTAAATCAGTTAATCAATCAATGAGCCAGTCAGCAAAACCTTTAATAACCAAAAGCCAAAGTTATTTACTTCAATCATAAATGCAGCCCGTCAATCATCCATTAAGCGAACATGCTGTTAGTCTTTCAATCAAATATTCATAGTAAATAAAAATATTCATAGTAAATAATAAAGTCAATCAGTAAATTAATAAGCCAATCAAAAATGCACACCCTCAATCAGTGCATCACTCTATCATAATATAAATAAGGAAAATATAATGTATACATATAGAAAATTTAATATTATTATATCTACACACAGCATCAATCAATATTTTAGCCACAATATACATACATATATAAAGCAAGTGTAATATATACAAAGTAGAGCATTATTATATTGGCATATATACATCATCAATCACTTAGTAAATAAATGAGAAGAATAATCAAAGTACTCAATCAATTGGTCACTTGGTCAAAGCCTTGTTCATTCTAAAAATTAGTTGTTAATCAAATAACCTATTGAACAATCTAAGAGGCAGTCAATCAGATTGACTGATTTAACAAAACAGTCAGATATTTAGAATATCTGTAGTCGCCAATAAGTTTTCTGAAGTCAGTAAATCTTCACACTATTACCTAGTCAATTAGTGCATCAATTAATATCAATCAATGAATCAATTGCAATCTCAACAGTTAAATATCTTTATTCACATGATATTATTTCCTCTTCCCCCCGCATAGAATCTCGACACGTGGCGGCAGCACTCGTCACGATGGTTCGCTCTCTGACACCCAGACCTACGCCGAGGTGAAGCCCGAGTACAGCTCGTACGCCATGTGGCTGAAGCATAGCAATACGGCGGGCAGTCGCCTCTCCGATGGCGACTCAATCGACCAGATGCAGATTGGCTCGCCGGCAATGACTCGACACGGACACAAGATGCTGCACAACCGCGGCTCCGGCACAGTGGGGCAAATGCCAGTGCAAGGCAACGAATCGCCCTACGTGCAGAGCCCGCGCATGAATCGCAGCAACAGCATTAGGTGAGTTCCCCTTTGTGCATAATTTGCATTTGATTGAAGCATGAGCGCCCTCCCTCTCTCTCTCTCTATATCTTTCCCACTCTCTTTTATCTATCTCTGTCTAACTCTCTACCAACTTCCATTTTCTGCTAAACCTTTTAAATTCATTTTAAAAGCTATCTGAAAGAACGGACATATCCAAGGTGACTTTGCCTCACAATCTCCACTCTTTTCTGTATATATGCATGTGTATTTGTGTGTGCCACGCCCATTATTAACGTCGCAAACAATCAGCTTCAGTCGGCACTCGTCGCACTTGTCTCGCACTTTAAAAGCCTTTGCCGCTTGCAATTTACATTTGCATCTTGTATACTTTACAGCTTCCCCAAAAAAAAAAAAGACGTTTGCAATGTCTGTGTGTGATGTGTGTGTGTGTGTGTGATGTGAGTTGTAACAGACGGCTGCTTCCAGACGTGGTGTTCCTAAAAACCTAAGCTATAGTCGGGCATGCAGTCTGTACCATTTGGTATAGTTAACGTATAGTCTATAACTCTTGTAGTCTATATAGGCTAGCCTCAATTAGTTAATCTAGTTTTGCATTTAGGAAAACAAGAAATAAGTATCACATCAGATGTATATGTACATAGAATAAGCTTTATTGTATGCAATATTTACATAAATTAATTAAGTGTTACAGAAGGCAAGTCGTGGAGTGATCCAATATATTGCAGTACAAAATCCCATAGAATCCATTAACTTCTTTTGAAATACAAATTTTCCCATACAATACGAACAAAATAATATTACATAGTTTTAAAGGGGCTTTTAGAAATGCGTATAAATCTATTTATATATTTAATATTTATATATTTTATATAAACTAAAATTTAAATGAATTACTTTGCTATTTGTAAATTGCAATATATATATATATATATATATATATATATATATATATATTTATATTTATATTTATATTTATATAATTTTTCATATCTTATTAAAACTTAGGTTTTCTTAATCTATCTAATTTATTTTTTTTTTCTTTTTGTATAAATCGCATATAAGCTAGCTTTAAGGGGTACACAAACAAACATGTTCAACTATTTGTTTGAATTCTCGCAAATTTCTTTGCCTGTCAGTTTGCATGACGACGTGTGTGTATGTGAGCGCGTGTGTGTGTGCTTAATGAGCTTGTTCTTCACGTGCGCGCCTGCAAGTATGCAAACAATTTGCAATAGTTTAGCTTTTACGGGCAAGGCGGTGCACTCGACAAGTGCTTGCTGTTGCCATGTCTCGCGTTGCATATTTTAAAGCTACAGTCAGGCCCAGCGAAAGGCGACAGCCCGTGCGCTCAGCTAGTTAAAGAGAAAACAGACACAGCAGGCAAACAGACAATTTGAAAGTTGGGTGAAACAGCAAAGTGTGCAAAAAATGAAAACGAAACACGAAATGGAAAACGAAATAGTGGAAATGGGCAAAGCCCGACACATAAGTGTAAATAACAACGCAGGGCAGTCGCTGAGAGAGCGCGGGGATGGGAAGGGGGGCAAAAGGGATTATTATTTGACATGTCAATAGGTTTGTGAACCTTTGACTTGGCCCTGCAACAGCCACGGACACAGCCGCAGCTGAACTGAAGTTGTGCCTGGGGGCTGCCATTTCGTTGTCGATGTCGAGTGTTGTTGTTGTTGTTGTCGAGTGTGGTTGTTGGTGTCGATGTAGCTGTTGTTGTTAATATTTTCAACTTTATTCTGGCCACATCAGCAATTCACAGTCGACGAGTCGACAGTCGTCCCTGCAGCCGGGTGTTGCCTCTCAAGTGCTTCATTAAAAATTGTTTCCCAGCAAAAGGTGATAAAAAAAACGAGAACTAGCAAAAAAGCAAGTTTGCCAAAGCAGCGAGGGTAAATACAACGTTGTAATGCGACGAGATAAAGATAAAGATACATTTGGGTGAAAACAGCAAATTTAACTGGACGTCAAATAGATTCGAAAAACGAGATTAAAATATTTCGTTTACCTGTGTTTAAATTGAGTTTCATTAAAGCTAGCAAAATTTAAAAATGTAATTTTAATCAATTTTTTATTATATATATATATTATATAATAATTATTATATATTAATTTAACTTTAATTTTTTTTTTTAGAGTATTCTAGGTACTTAGTTCAATTCCTAAAATTTATATTAAAAACTCGAAGCTCGAATAACTTTGACAAAGCTGTATAGCTATTGTATTATTATATTATTATTATTCTTCTTGATACATGTATAAATTCAGTCTCTGCTTTCAGTCTTCGTTTCTTATTAGAGTATTCACATAAATTTTTATGTACATTTTATTACAAAATTTTAAGTTTTATATGTTAAATATCATAAAATTGCGACTATTAAACTGTTTATAGCAGAGAATCAGAATGACATTCCCATGTAAAGCCCATATCTTCTGTCTACCCTCTTGTTATCTTTCTCTTTCCCCTCATATCCTTACTTCCTGACTTGTCCTTGTGAAAACTAAAGCGACACTCAGCCGATTTGGTTGAGCGAGGCATCTTCAAAATTTTAAATTTTTTTGATACAAATGTAGTTCTCATGCCAAGTACTTACTACCATGAAACTCAATTCCTGCTCGTCATAGTCAGATGCTAAGCTGGTTATTTGTTCACATAATCTGCACACATGTGAAACTAGTTTAATTTAAGCATTAATATCATCTGATGCAGTCTTGATATGGAATATAAAGCAGAAGAAAAATGAAGTTACATTTAGCACAACGGAAAAATGCTTTATCGCTGTACCACACTCCAATCCCAAGTCTCTATGCCCAAGTCCTTTGGCTAGTATCTGCTGAAACAGCTCTTTCACACTCCGCCCACAGTTGAACTTGCTGTTTGCCAAGGCAACTAATATGCCAGCCGTTGAGGAGTGAACTCTTGCTTTCAATGCATCAATTATGCAGGAGGAAATGGCAAGTGGAAACACAGCAGCGACGGCAACTAGAGCAGGAGCAACCAGTTTTGGTGGTTTGTTATCAAATTTTACACCACAGTCGAGCAAAGCAAAGCAAGCAGAGCAGAGGAGCGCAGAGCAGAGTGCGGATCCAACAGACACAAATTGTTGGCCAAAAGCCCCAGAGCGTTAAGTAAACGCCCTGAAGCGTAGAAAACCCCTAACAAACAAACACATACACACTCAGGCAGAGGGGCAGGCGGGCAGGCGGGCAGACAGGAAGAAGCTCTGGCGAGCACACATAACGTATACGTAATATTAGATTTGCATGCGAAATGACAAAATGCCATTAATGCCAGCTAACAGCACTGAGGGGCGACACTGCCAGTGGCCATAGGAGTGGCAGTGGCAGTGGCATAGAGATGCTGAGCCAGTAAATCGAGGCAACAACTCGGACAGCACAGATTTGTCCAGCCTTGCCCCTGCCCTGTGGCTCGCTGCAGCAGCTATCCCTTTTTTGTAGTCCAGTGTGAATTCTGTGGTCATTCGCCTCAGATTTATGATTACACTCAGAGAAAAGCTGAAGGTGTGAAATGCTAAGAAGGATTATATCGAATAATGCAACCATTTTGATTCATTTGTAAATGCAGATTCGAAAATATTTCTATAAATTAAATTTGAATTTAATAATATAATATTATAATGATAAACTTATTATAAAATTTATTTAATAATAAGTTATTTCATATATGTATTTTTACTCTTCTTTAATGCAGATAGATCTTATCTAAAAACTAGTTTAAATTCAAATTGTTTTGGCAGCAGTTACAGATATTTTTAGTTTGCATATGCAACTAACCTCTTTTTTCGCTGAGTGTAACGTATTATATGACAATTTGTCGAGGGATTTGGCATGTGAGCGGCATGTGTCTGTCTCACTTATGCCTTTATCAGCACTCACACACATTCTCTCAACACACACACAGGCACGCACACTCATTCACTCACGTCAATTTGTCGCCGGCGAAAATTAAACGGAAATTTGCGACGAGTACGAAAATATGCAACGGCTCTGATTGCGTGCAGATTGGCCTAATAAACTTCACAGACCGCAACGGAAATTTGCAAGCGTCTGGCAAACACACACACACACACACCACAAGAACCACCTGATCACACACACATACCCAAACACCACTGAACATAGTAACAATCTTGTGGTCGACTGTGTCGGCCAAAATATTTTGGGTAATTGGAGCAGCGAGCGTTTAGCTTCGCAAGTGCAGAACAAGCTGCATTAACGCTCGATAACATTCAACAAATTAACAATGCAGGGCTTGAGCCAAGAACTCATTAAAGGAATGATTCCTGCTTGAATTATATTTGATTTACAATTGCGAGCTATTTGCATGCCATTTATTAACCTTTTACGCCCTTCAAGCTGTCATGGCGTGTTGAAAGCCTTTGAAGTGCTTAAATATATTGAGTGAACATTTTGTCATCAACCCATGTTTAATCTCCTTTACATTACTCTCTATAAACTACAATTATGCATGCACTTTAACTGTTTAGTATATAGTTTATTTGGCAAGTATTTTATTGTATTACAATGAATTGTTTATGGCCAACAATCAGAAATGGTTTTGCGAACTACGCGTTAGGCTATCTTGATGGAAAATTTAATCAATTTCATTCATTCTTAATCATATTACAATATATTGTAAATATTCTACAAATACATACATATCATATAGTAATTAATTGAGTTGACAAATATACATAATGAAGTGAATAAACCCATATATAAAATAATTTTCAGCTATGTCTCAGTTAAATTAACATGAGGATGCTTTGATTCTTGGCATTTACACTAAAATCTTTACGATAAAACGGCATTTACTCTTCTTTCAGTTCGATAATCGTAGGGCAGATTTTAGACGAGCTGAAGCAAATATTATTGATCACTAAAATGAATCAGCTATGGCGAAGAAGACTTTGAGATCTAAACATTTTTATTAAATATTATTCATTTCAATTCATTCATTAAATGTGATTTTTATAAATTATTTCAAGACACTAGTCAAAATATTCTCTATATTTTGTCTGAGCTGAACTGTAGCTGAAATTTTTAAAGACTCAAGAGAGATAATAGACAAAAATGCTTTGGCACTTTCTAATAAATAAATATATATTAGAGAAAAAAACTTTTAAAAATTTTAAATCAATTTAGTTGAGCGATATTCTATCTATTCTATTTTAATTTTCAAGCACTTGAAAAGCCTTGCAGTTAGTCAATTAACTTGCTTTATTAATTATGACGATTTACTGCATATACTTTATATTCCTAAAATCGTTATAGTTTTTTATTTCAGTCAGTTCCTCAAAAACTTTATTGGTATTTGTTGAAATCACTCCATTGTTTCACTGTTGCTCTTGCCTATGCGAACAACACAATTTGCTTGTCAATATCATAAATGTGGATGTCCACCCAAACACACACTCACCCACACCCACACCCATAACAAGGTCTGAAAACTAATCAAATATTTCGATTTGGCCTTTTGCAATTACCCGCAGATCCACAAAATCAGAGAAAATGTATCCCTCGATGCTGAGTCGCGGCGGGGATGTCGAAATAGAGCCGTACTACTGCCTGCCAGTGGGCGCCACCAACGGAGTCCTCAGCGCCCAAATGGCCGCCGCAGTGGCCCAGGCTCAGGCGCAGGCTCATGCCCAGGCGCAGGGGGGCAGCGGAGTGGGCGGTGCTGCGACAGCGGCAGCTGCAGCTGTCGCCTGGAGTCAGCCCACCTCGCCCACGCCCCTCAACCGAGGCCCCTTCGCCTCGGCGGCGACTGCGCTGTCGCCCACACATGGCACAGCGGCAGCGGCGCTGGCAGCGGTGGCAGCTGCGGCAGCAGGAGCCGGACATGGCGGCAGCAATGCATCACATCGTCTAACATATCCCAAAAAGAATGATGAAGGTGAGTTATGGGCAGCTACAGTGGGGCCTCGTTCGGAGGGACGGAGAAGAGCAAAAGAGATTAGCGATATGAATTGCTTTTGTATAATTACAAAGCGGCTGCTGTTCGTTGTCAGAGTGCTCACTGTGCTTATGCTATGGATAAATGCTAAAACTGCCCTCTCTTTATACCTCTTTCAGTTCATGGCAGCGCCGCCTCGCTGCTATCCGGCGGCAGCTCGTTGTACGGCTCGGCGGAGGAGCGGCAGGCGCACGAAATACGGCGATTGAAGCGCGAACTGCAGGATGCACGGGAACAGGTGCTCAGCCTGAGCAGCCAGCTGTCAACCAATGTGAGTAGCGCAACTATCAAATTCGAATACGGTTGAGTGCCTCTCGACTGTCGTTAGCTAAACCTGCGAAAGATGGCAGGGATATGAGATAAAGTTTTCCCTACAACATGAAGGCTTTCAAGGTAGAGCATGAGGAAATGATATTTTGAATGCTAGCTGCGTAGCTCTTTGTCTCTATACCAAAGGGTGCCTCAATTGTGGGTATATGACGGAAAGGAAGTCCTCTAGATACAAATCAACATTGTCGTATTTGTATTGTTAAGTTATCTCAATTGCATTGAATGAGTCAACGCTTCTTTATCCCTTAGAATCATTGACAAAGGGTAGTGATGACACTATGAATCATATGATACACATAATTATATCACAAAATGGGTTACGATTAATTGAAACCATAAGCGATTGTTCCAACAAAAAATCATTTGACTATTTTTCGTTGATTAATTTAAATTAATTATGCTTAATTTAATCTCATGATACAGGAATCGATCAAAGGTTTTGTTGCCCTCAACAAAAAGAGTTGTGAAAGATACTTAAATCTTTCCAAGCACGGCTACGCCCATAAAGAAAACATATATCGTTCTTATGGAGTTCTAGTAGACTCTTGAACAATTTCTTGTTTATTATTATTATCAAATGTTAAATACATAGCACTGTGAAAGGTATGAAAGGATGCTTTCTCATGAATTTCCGGATTTTCATAAACATGTTTTATAATATTATTAAATAATATTATATTATATGCATTCCAAATACATAATTATTCAACTCTAGCCTCTAATAAAATTTATTTATTAGAAAGTAGAGTAAATATAAAACTAACTTAAAAGTATGCGCGGCTTAAGGGGCCTTCGCCTCCTAAAACAAATGGACTCGGCCCTGTAGAAGGTCCACCCTACAACTGAGTGTAAACATAATGAAATCTTTGCAGCCTGCTTCACATTGCCAGACTTGAGTTGGGCATTGTAAACTAAGTATGAAGGAAAACATTCTTTGCTCACCTTTACAACAGCTCAGGTAGCCCAAGTCCTTTTTTAAACGCTCATTGTTTGGCCATAAATAATTGATCAGCATATATTTTACAAGTCCTTTACAACACTGTCGCAAACTTGGCCAATTGCCAGGGGACTCATTCATCTGCTGCCGCTGCCGCTGCCACTGCCACTGCCACTGCCACTGCCACTGCCACTGCCACAGCCGCAGCAGTCGTAAAAAGGCTGCAACACTTGGCGGCAGCTGTTGCAACATTTTGCGCATTTCCATTGCCTGCTTTGGGGCGCGCCTCAAGAATGCGCTCGAACAGGGCTGCGTAACAATGTTGCGGCTGCTGCAAGGTAGTTGAAATTGCTGCAGCATAGCTCAGCTCATGCTCTCTCTCTCCCTATCTACCTCTCTCTCTCTCTCTCTCGCTATCGACTGCTGAGAATGTTGGCGCACTTCAGCGTTGATTCGGTTCGCTTATCGGCGTCGCCGTCGACTCGCATTTTTGTCAGCGCAACTTTTACGCCACGTTGCCCTCGCGTCATATTCCCAACTAGGATGTCTGCACTGTCTGCCACGCCCCACAGCCCGCCCGCCTCCCCTTGCTTTGGCTGTGTCTCAAGTTGTCAACGAAAGTCACGCAAAAGTCTGATAAACTTCCCAGGCGCTGAGACAAATGGACTGCAAGCAAGAGCTGCGCTCCAGAAGCCGTCGCGTCACGTTGAGGGGAGGATGTGGTTGGGGGGAGTACTTAAGAAAAGTTTTGCCTACTTTCAGTCAGTGGAAAAATATTCTCCATATGACCGAGCGCCAGTTGATTTCATTGTTGTTGTTGGCTGCGTCTCCTGCTGGATGCGCTCATATCTCGAATAACTCGTCAACAATTTTTTGGCTCACAAATGAAATAAACTTTAAATTGCATTTCATCAGGCAGAAGGCAATGAACGGGGGGAGAGGCCAAGAGGAAGCCAACGATTTTTATGTTACTTTACGTGTTGTTACGTCGTAAATTCTTTTATGAGCACAAGCCTTTAGCTATCAAATTTATCGAGGCCAGCCAGACAGAGACTGAGCCAAACATCTATTAGGCATTTCTCCAGACAGCATAAATCTGTCCCAGCATGACTTTAGCTATTTCATTGGGCTGGGGGTTGAGGTGGAGTTCGCTGGTGTCAAGGTCGAGGCGTACGTGCAAATTGCTAGCTTGACGGCTCTGACGGATTCTCAATATGAAATGAGTCTTTTTATTGAACTATAAATTGCTCGAAAGGGGTTTCAAGCTGTTGCCAGTTCATTGAAGGGAATTACAGGACAGCAATTACAGGGTATCTCGGACAGAGCCTAGCTCGCTTAATTTATGGCACGCGCGAATCGATAAATGCGACATAGCTTCAACTCGGCATTCGATCATAGAAAACATGAAAATGCTGCCACGCCTCCAGAATAGCTGAGCAGGCGGCAGCGGGAGCAACTGGTTCTACTTAGCTGAGCATGCGAGACAGAGAATGGCAATGAAATGCGTTTCGCCGTTCGCTTGTTGCGTGAGACAAAGTCAGCGAGAAGAGAAGAATAAATTGCAACGGAGTTATGTCTGGACGGCGTTTGCGCTTTTATGGCATTGAGTGGGGTAGCCGGGGTGGGGGCGGGGTGCCTGCTTGATGAGCCAACGATATGTGAATAGCTGAGAATTTATGTGGGTTGCTTCGAAGTGGGTCGCCTCTGCTGCAGCCTGAGAAAGAGTTGACTTGAAGACTGACTAAAGAGTGCGTAACGCTTAGGTGAAACCCTAGAAGGCACTCTAATGTGGACTCGAATTTTGATATAATTTATATTTAAGATAGTTTTTTATATTAGTAGGCGATCGGGTATGAACAATTCGTTTTCTTTTCATCGGAACGATATGTTCTACAAATTGGTTCATCTGCTTATTTGAGTTGTAGTTCAAGTTGAAGTTTGATGAACTGCTAATTTAGTTGTACTGGTGAGTCGAATTATCAATTCTAGAGGCACAAATGAACCACTGAGCCAGCTCTTCGTTCTGTTAAACAGTTAAACTGTCGTTACACAAGCTCCTCAAACTTAACTTAATTATGCTATTGGATGAACGAGTTTTAAAAAGCTGATCGAATGAACTAGTTCTTCTAATTTAAATAGGGTTTATAACATTAACTAGTTCTTTCAACTTAACTAATCAACTAAACTAGTTCTTCAAACTTAACTTGAATACGTAGCGACTTTCAAATACCTCATTTCAATCTTGTAAAATTAGTTAGTTAACTTATACAATACGAGGGCGGTTTGAACAGCTTCCAATCTAACAACAAAGTAAAATAAACTGAAATGAATGAATGTTTATTGTTTCAGCTTTTATCGCTGCGGTTTATACTCGAAATGAAAAAACCTTTCCTGTCCTCTACCCCAATCAGAGCCAGCACGAGCTTTGCTTCTTTTCGCGCTAATCGCTTTAAACTTGTTTGCTTAGCCCGTGAATATTTTTATGGCCACAAACTGAAAAGTGCAGGAAACTTGAGCTGAAACAAAAAATTGACATAAAATTCTGCTAGTGTAGGTTCAAATGCAAGCGAACCCTCTTTCGAATCCATTTAATTAAGCCCTCAAATGGCTTTGGCAGCTGCTCAAACTTCTGGCCAACTTTGTTAACTTGGCCAATTGCTGCTTGGAAAACTTCAAGTGTTGCACAATTGCAACTTTTGCCAAGACGATGATTCTCCGACCAGACTTGAAAAGTCAGCATCAAATACTGATTGTTTTTAATGCAATCACAGCTGCCACGCCCACCGCCTGTGGGGGGAGGAGGGAGAAAGCAAGGAAAAAGAGAAGCTTTTTTAATTGCCCAATGATAGCCACGCAGCCTCGCAGTCGAGTCGAGTCGAGTCTGTGGCTCAATTGTGCTGGCGCTTAATTAATTTCTGCTATGAGTAATAAACGTCATAAATGCCAATCGTCTGCCACATAGTCATAGTTCCATGCCGCCCCTCGGCCGCCCTCCTCTCCGTCTGTCTGTCTGCCTTTCGCATTCAGCGTTTGTGCAGCATATTATTTGCTATTGGCTTCTTTTTTTATTGACAGACATCTTTGCAATTTCACTTTGCGGTCACAATAGTTGGTGCCGCCCCCCTGTCTTCCCCCCTCGCACACAATAGGGCGCCCGCACCCCCCGCCCCTAACAGCTACAGCCTTCACGAGCGCCCATCTGCGTTCGTTTTGCCAGTTTTTTATGGTCTCCTCTGGCGTCAGATGCAGCTTAAAGAGTTATAGACGCATTAGATAAATGCCTGCGTGTGAGTGATGGAAGCCCCAACAGGGGGAGAGGCAGTGGGGTAGAGGGGAGAAAAGCTCGAAAAAAGTTATACAAAGTTGTATTCTCTGTATACGAATGTGAATGTGTTTTCTTTATTCATTTAATTTTGTTTACTATAAGGAAAGAATTATTTGTTTCATTTGAAGTAAAAATTAAAATGTTGGTACGACTAGTAAATGCTTTACACTCAACAAAAAAACTGAATGATAAACACATTATTTAGACACAATTTAAAATTCATATCAATATTAACAATACCTGTAACAATTATTATGTTTATAATTGTGTGTTAATTATAAAAAAAAAGGGTATCCATAAAAGGAATTGAGTATTAAATATATAATTATTCAACTTAAAAAATCTCAACAGGCTGTGATTCCATAAACTTCTTTTATGTATGATGTATCTTAAAGCAGATAGCTAAGATTTATTACAAAATATATATGATGTACAGCATGAAAATGTATTTGGGCATCCAAAGATATAAATCTCCATTTACAATATTTTATTTATCATTTTATGTCAAATATTTTCCACATATAGCTTTCATAATCTACGCGTTTACATAAATCAAATAATAGAGAGCAAAAACTAAACAAAGTAATTCATCACATATTTCAAACTTAGTCGGATGTAAATAAATTTATTTATATACAGATATACATGCATATATGTAAATGTATTCATTATTTATAAT